AAGTAAAGTTCGTGGTGGACATTGGTCTTTTTTTCCTGAGATAGAACTGGAATCTCAAAAGCCATTGACTTCAGCATGGAGTTTCTTGTCCCCAAAATGTTCTCCACAGTTATTTTATAGTCCCTGACTATCAGTACTTTAGGTAGGTTAGAGTTTGATTTCAGGATAACATGTAAATGGCTTCAAGTCGTTTTTATAGGAGGAGTGACAATAATAGGGCAGGCAGGCCGAAAAATAGCTTATTAGATACACATTTGCTGACATGATGGGAACCATCACTAGAAGGAAAAACAAGTCAAATGAATTAAATATTTATATTTGAAGACTATTCTAAGTTCAGTAAATTCAAACGAATTATACTGGTTTAAAAATCATTTTTAATTGTGAGCTATAAATATCAATTGAATCATACATTAATCAAATGGCTTTGGTTTTTCATCTTAAATCTGTTAAGACTGATGGTTCTCAGGGGCACCTGGGTGGCCCAGTCGGTTGGGCATCCATCTCGTGGTTTCAGCTCAGATAGTGGGATCAGGCTGGCATCTGGCTCCGTGCTTAGTTCAGGGTCTGCTTGGGACTCTCCCTCCCCTTCTCTCTGCCCCTCCCCCCTGCTTTCTCTCTCCCTCTCTCTCTCTCACACACACACTCTCTCTCAAATAAATAAATAAATCTTTAACAAAGATAAAAGAAAAAAAAAAAAGGCAGGTGGTTCTCAACCCTGGCTGCATATTAGAATTGACTGGGGTTGAGAGGGTGGTTTAAAAATTTCCAAAGTCCAGAGAGCACCCTTCACCATGATCTGCTGCTTCACCATGATCTCAGTGTTTTTCTAAAGTTCCCCCAGGTGATTGCAATATGCTGAATACAACTGTTTTAACAGATCACTAAATTTTCATGTATATTGAACTTAAAGGTTGGCTTTTAAAAACATTATTTCTTTTTTTTAAAAAACATTTTTTTAATTTTATTATTTATTTATTTGAGAGAGAGAGAGCACAAGCAGGGGGAGAGGCAGAGGGACAAGCAGACTCACCACTGAGCACAGAGCTGGATGCGGGACTTGATTCCAGGACCCCGGGATTATGACCTGAGCCAAAGTCAGACACTTAACTGGCTGAGCCACCCAGGTGCCCCTAAAAACATTATTTCTTTCAGAACAATAGAACTTGCTTCTCAGCCATTTGAAATTTGGCTCTCATCACAGGATTAAGTATCTTCCCATGGAATAAGGATATTCAGTTTGGCAGAACTCAAACACAGGAAGAACCACAAAGGACTTTATCTTTTCTCTGGGCTCATGGCAATCATTACTCGGGAATATGTTTATTTATCAGAATAATAAATGAGTGGTTCTGCAAGCTCCATTTTAGATTCACATGCAAGATTCCCAGCATCTTCAAAGAAGAGCCTTTCAAAGACTCTAAAACCTCAAACTCAATCGCTTTTTATCTTTTTCTGCTCTCTACATATGAGTTTTGGCAGGCAGAATTTTCATTGATCAAAATCAGGAGAAACACTTTAAAACAAACAAATTTTAAAAACCCAGATATTTTAAGCAGGATGAAGAGCTGATGATTAGGGCCCTTAGAAAAAAGATGGCAATAAAATACTCCTAGAATTCTTTTGCCATCCAAGAATCATATTTGTTGTTAAAGCCAGTAGTTTTTCATTGTTAGGTACTGGGGAATCTGAGCTTTCTCTCCACCATGGGAGTATTCCCCTAAGTAAACAGAGCTCAGCCTGTAGTCAGACACCAACTAAATAAAGAGCCATCTTTTAATAGCTGAAGCCCGTGATGCTGAACAGCCCCAGTGGACAGAGATAAGCTGAGAAAGAAAATCGGTTGATTTCAAGAAAGACATGGAATCACCCTCTGGGCTGACCCAGGTTGTTTTAGATGATGAGTGGCTATGGAGGTGACAAACTTTATTGGCTGGAAAGAAATATAGAGAAAATAAATAAGCTTTGTTTGCTTCTTAGTGAAAAAAAAGTGTGCATAGTGTATTTCCTCCCTAAGATTGGGTTGCATAGCCTGCTGACAGTTTCCTAAATAGATCATCTACAGAGAAGTAAAGACTATAGAGATGTCTAAAGCTGCACGTCTAAGTAATTCTAAATAGAGAGCCCAAGAAATCGAGACACGAAAGGAAAAGATCCTTTTCTTACACTTTTGTATCAGTTTCTTCTTAGTGCCTACTTATCTCCCTCATACTACCCCATAATCCTTTACTGGCTTTAGTCTCCTTGAATATCTGACCATCCTGGACAGGGTCTGCTCTACTCAAGAATAGTCTCAGTATTAGGTGTTATCACTTGGTATGGAACTAAGGGCATCACATGTGAACAGTTTAACTTGTTTTTATTTAAGCACTTTGAAATTCCATACGACTCTTTGATACTGGTACCAAGCAGGCTTTGTATTTGACCGGGCAATAGTCATACATGAAATTTGCTTGCAAAGTCGAAGATGATATCTTTCATCTCTGTCAGAACTTAAGCACTTAAAGATTATTTAATTTCATATTTACTCTTGTACTTTCTTCTCCAAGGTTGTTCGTTGTATTCCAAATAAGTATGGGAGAAATTTTAAAGTGTACTTTTCTGTTTGAATGTCGATGACTCAAACTGTTTTGGGTGTGTTTGCATTCAAGTCATTGTACCAGCTATAGACTCATGTACCGAAGAAGCGATTTCTATATGGCAGCGATCTCCAGAAAGTATTCTCCATGTTGAAAATTCAGGGAAGGTATATTCCTTGTTATTGGGGTATAGGACTTTACTATGAAAATAAGAATCTTTCTTTTAATTCAATGCTAATAATTGAAGTCATAAAGCATGTCAAACATATTAATTTAATTAACAATACCACAGATTTCTGGGATTGCTAACCTGGTGAGCAAAATAAATGAAGATTTGAATCATATAAAAAGGAAAAAAAGCCAATAGATTTTGGGATATACTATGGCTGATTTAGCATTACCATTGATATGCACTTTATTCCCCCCTTAACTTTGCAATAATAATAGGAAATGGAAATTTTGTTATGTTGTTTACAGTCTGAACTGAAATGTATCAAAACAAGGATGAGTTAGATGTCTTTTCTTGAAATAATGTATTTATAGAGTTTGACCAAAGATTAATAGCTAAGATTCTACAACTCAGACGAATCAAAAGATACTGTGGTAACACAAAATTGCCTTTTAATGTTTGTTTACCAGTTCATTGTATCTTACAGAAAATGAAAACATTTTTTTTTTTTTGGTAATACAGATTGGTTCTTCTCCTCAGATTTGTATTCAGTAGGTATTAAATGCCTTTAAATACTGGTTTTTCTTTTAATCAGGTGGTTTAATGACTTCTGAATTTTTCATTTCTTTTGTTGTACATCAGAGCTGCTCTGGCAGTAGTGAGCTCTGTTACAGTTCACTTCTCAGCAAAACTCTTGTCAGTTATCCATTGATCCTTCTTGATGTGTTCTCTGCTGCAAACTGATAGGCAATTCCCTTTTACTCCTCCCCTCCTTAGTGGTCAGCTACTCCATGGGACCACTGTATTCTTTGGAGCGCTGAAATCAAGAAACCCAGTATGGCTGCCAGCAACCAAATTGGAATCTCCTTTGAGTCTACTTCTAATTGCCAAAATAATAAGTGACTATATTATTGCATAAAATAAAGCTTAAACAGGTACCGGCCCCCTTTCTATGACAGAAGGTTTAAATTTACAAATACCGTATTTGACTAAAAATTACTGTGATAAAATATGGCAGCAGTCATTTAAAGGTGGTTTCCAGTGTTAATATGACTTATTTTCATTCCTATTCCTTCTTTCCATGTGAATCATTTCTTTTTGTTGGTATTCTCAAATGGAGGTATCTCAGTGAAATTTGCAAGTCAACTTTGTTCCTTATATGGGCCACAACTGTTAATTATGGACAAAATGGTCAAAACAAGATTTCCTAACCCAGACTCCCATCTTATCCCTCTGATACTCTTGGAACCCAAGTCTGAGGAGTAATTTCTGAATTTGCCAGTGCTGCAATGAGTTTCTTTTAGGAACTGTATGTATTAGGATAGCTTTTCTTTTTTTAGAAATCCTCAGTGAGATATCTTGGGGAATGAAGTAGGAAAATAGACATTGATGGAAAAATGGTAAAATAAGAACATTTAAAAAAACCCTTATTCAGATAGGAGTCCAAAGGAGTAAGGGGATTCTGATCCTTTGGGGGAAGTCAGAAGATAAAAATTCTGCCCAGCAGTATTCATTCTGTTAAGATTTTTTTTTTTTTTTACAAGCATGGAAAAATGGTGTGCAATCAGTATAGATTTTAATTAGCTAACAGTCACTCCAGAGATTTTGAACAGCACCAATTCCAATACTAGTAAGTATTCAAAAGTTAAGAAAAGCTACTATGCTTAATATTATAAAGGTAGAGTTCTGCAGCAATAACTAAAGATTACATATCTGCTTCAATAGAAATGTGTTCCCACTTGCATTTCCGATAAAATGCTTGTAATGTGGGTCCTAATCTCAAGTATGGGCTCCCTCCAATATGCTAACCCCCATGTTTGAGGTGTTAAAGTTGGTATTTTGGAGATAGTCCCCTCTTTAAATCACGTATCCATCTTATCCTAGACCATTCAGGTATTTTTAATTTAGAATTTGAGTTCTAGTTGTATCAGCAGTGTTTGAGTTAAACTTTACAATCTCTTTGGATTTATATTTTTGTACAATTTGCATATCCAACCTAATGTAAAAATGTACATGCATACATTGTCCTCTTTTAATATTAATGCATCTGAAATTTCCCAGATATGCTTCGATAAAAGAAATGATCTGCTTTTATTTACAATATTTTCTCTAGATAATGTATGGATATAATTATGGTTTCATGGGCTTCCAATTGTTCTTATACCTTCCACACATGTAACTCTATATCTATAGAGTAAATTTATTAGAATTATTACAGAGCTTTCAATGCAACCACAATCAATTCAGGAAACAGATTTATTTACTCATGTTCATGGGAGGAAAATCTACATAAAAACATTGATGAAAGCATACCAGCTATGTCATACTTGGATTCTTATATTAAAGCCCATTTATTAGAATTCATTGTAAAACAATGGGAAACCATGAAATGTAATTTGAATACAAATATTGGTCCCTGCAGGGTCTCAACAGTCATAAAAATATAGGAAAACAGAACTTTATTTAATATTGGAGCTGCTAATGTCTAAAGTTGTTTTTCTGAAGCTGGCTTTACCCTTTCATTTAAAGCCCTGAAGATTTTAGTGTAAACTCTTTGATGGGAGCTTCTGCATTTCATTTAAGCCTAATGATGACCGGCAAGGAAAGTGACATCATTGACCGCATTTTCTATATGGAGGGAGGTTTAGAACGACTTTGTTCACTCATTTGCCCTCACACAGGCACCAGTTGGGCTTTCTAGTAGATATACAAAGAAGAGTAATGGGAATTTTGAAAGTTGGGTCTGTATTTCTTGGTTAGGCAAGTGTATAGTTATCCATTCCTTTTGTGATTTAAATTTTTTTCATGGAAGGTAAATAAGAAGGAAATATTAAATAGTTTAAAGTTATTTTTATAGGACAATATATTTCATAGGCTAACATAAAATCAAGCTGCTAAATTTTACAATTTTTCTGTCCAGCAGTTTATCTATATAACTGCCCTGAGTAGATGCTAATGCTGCTTAGCAGACGGCCCTTAGAATTTAAATATAACTCAGTAAAGCTACTCAAAAGATTTAACGATTCTTCTCAGGTATGTGTCATTTCAATTAAAAGAAGATTGGAGTCTCTCATTGGTTAAATATTATCTGCGTATTCACGTTTCATACTTCATATAAATGGGGTTATTAAGGAGTTTTAACTGTGCTTGTTACTATGCATTGGAGTCCATATGAATTTATTTATTTATTTTTGGTCAAAAAGGCAGGATTTTAAAGACTAAAACGTTCTGTTTATTGGAGTCTTGAAATAATACCTTTTAGAAAAGTGTAGATTGTTCCCTTGTGAAACTGAGTTTCGTGCAACCTCTCAGAATCTCAGTTTATGTAAAGAAGCCTGTATTTCAAATCCGTTGCTCTAATTTGTAGATTGTAGTGCATTTCAAAATTGTACAAATGTGTAAAATTTGTGCTTGTGGAAACTGCTGCTCTGAGTAGCTGTACTTTCCTTAATTTAATCCTCGCAATCCTCAAGCTATTGCATGCCCCGTTCATGAAAGGATACTTCACTGGGAACAATGTAGCCTAAACAATTGGGCTCTAAAACCTCCTTATCTAGCGCTTCCCTTAAAATTATATTAATTTATAATATATATTGAATGATAGCTTTACAAAAACAAATTCATGAATTGGTCTTTATGAAAATGACTCTTTCCAGTAAGTAAAAAAGGGTTATCACAGTTTTGGTAACTTGCATGAGTTCGTGTTGAAAAAAAACGAAAAACAAACAAAAAACACAAAAAACCCCTTTCACATGTTCTTAATGACTTTAAAACTGATGTGCTCTAGGGGCACGCTCAGTTGTATGCTCTGAAGCAGTAGACACCGTACAGCTTATGCTTTTTATCTGGGAACCCCACGAAGCGCACGGCAGCCTCGGTGGGACTGCAGCGTCTCCTCGGCCTCGAGATGGGGTAGCGGACACTGCCATCCGCCAGCCAGCCCGCATCGCAGCGGTCGTATCCTAGAAGTTTCCAGGCGGCGAAGATCTGGCCCACTTTTGCGATCTGAGCACCATCGTTGAGACAAGCCTGCACCGCTTCGTCGTAGGTCAGCTTGGTGGGATGGATCAGGTAGTAAAACCGGCCTGTGGAGAGAAGCAGAGAGAGTCAGGGGGCCTGTCTGCCCCTGAGCAGCCCAGAGATGGAAGGAGCCCAAACGGAAGTGTTTCTCAGGGAAGGGGGAGATGCAGTGTCTGTCAAGTTCGGGGAACATAGGGTTGTCAGTTAAACCTAGCGCCCCTCGGTCATTCTCCCATTTTCCTTGCCCCTTAGTATGTGTTCAGACATGCCCTTTTATAGCTTTGAAACCGAGAAGGGAAATGACAGATGCGGTTTCTGTTAGCTAATTAGTGACTAAAAGGGCCCTTCTGTAGTACCAGAGAAGACAGAATTCCATGTTAAAAGCAAGAGCTATTTAAATTCTAGCTGTAGCAAGACTGAACCCTAGCACAAGTTTCTGGAGAGGCAAAATTTGAATGTGAAAAGATCAAAAAACATTCCTGACATAAAAGTCCATTTAAAAAAAATCAAAAGCCCTCAAGTCCTTTTCATTACAGGTATCAATAAGACATTATTCTGATTCAAAGACTACAGTATGAAAATGCAAAAAATACAGGAAGTCACTTGCCATAAGTAATGCAGACCCAGAATGTGAACCCAGTCTGTTCAGTTACTAGCAAAGGGGATGAATTTATTTATTCAGTGGGAGCCCTGACACCTAACCATTTCTTGATTGCACAAGAAAGAGCAAATGAGTCTTAACCACTCACTGAATAAAGTTAATTCCTGACATACCTTCCATGTATATTAAAGATGCAGACAGTGTATAAAGTATGGCATCAACTGGCTGAAGTGCTCTGAAGATTTCCTCAGACTTGAGTCTCAGGTAGACTATCATCAGACTCTCTTACCTGATTACACATTGTAATGGGATGTCTCCTCGCCCTCCATTACATATAGTATAATGACTGAAGTATAAGTTAATGCTGGCCAGTTCTTTCTGGCAAGACTAAGACAATGTGATTTGGAGGATCGGTAGAGGCCACTGGGAACATGAGTTAGAAGGTTGGCTCTATCGTCCATACCAGAGGTCCACAAACTACAGCACAGGGGTCCCCAGAAGTTTTGTTAAAACACAGCCGTAGCCATCCGTTTAATACAGTCTGTGGCTGTTTTGCATTACAACATACAGAGCTGCATTGAGTAGTTGCGACAGAGACCGCGTGGCCCACAAAGCCAAAGACACTTATCATCTGGCCCTTTACAGAAAGTTGGTTCATCCCTGATCCCTTGCTATTTTTCCCAAAGCATGTCGCCAGGGGAGTGAAATAAAAAATGATGGGGCCGGGGTTTGCTTTGTGGGCGTGTGACCTGGGCAGTTGCACAGGGCCCCGCGTGTGTTGAATGTGCCACTGTCACCATCTTAAAATTCATAGTTTTTGGACAAGGAACTCATGTTTTCATCCTGCACTGGGCCCCACAAGTTGTGTGGCTGGTTCTGGTTGGGGCAAGACAGGGTTGGGAGTTACACTGAAGGCAACAGATCAGTCGTCAACATGGAGGCAACCTGGATCTCTTTTCTTCTGCTTCCATCTCCGGTGTTATTGCTACTTATTTATTTATTTTTTTTTTGCAAAGTTGTCTTTACTACTCTGAGCTTTCTCTTTATTTGAGTTTTGCTGATCAGCTATGAACATAATCGACTTTGTAATTTAGAGAAGGAGAGCGTGACATAGAGACTACTCTCACTTCCATTAAGAGATCTGTATCCCAGGGCACGCATCTCTATCACACACAGCGGCAGCATCATCTTCGTCAATAAGAAACAGACCCCATAGAATATCTCAGTTTAAACTATTTTCTAACTATAATCGGATGCAATAACACCTAGGAATAGTGGAAATACGCACTTTTGCTCACGTGGGTATTTTTGAAACTTATGACGTTAAAGAACATTGCTTCTTCTCAAACTAAGGGCGATACATCAAAGCCGTGTCCTTTTCTTTTTTAAGTAGATAAGATTAAAAACGGAGTGTGGTGTTACAGCACGTATTGGTCCCCAGGACAGGAAAGAAGGCGGTACCGTTAACAGCTTACCATTGAAGTTAGATGTAAAACAGAAAACATCGTATCTGCTTTTGTCTTTATCCCAAAACCCGTAGTTCCTGACACCGGGCACCGTGTTCTGGCCTCCGCAAGGCTCTCTGGGCTTTGTGATGGGATACTGCACAGACCCGTCACTGAGCCAGCCGGCATTGCACCAGTCCAGCCCGCCCCGCCAGGCATTGTAGAGCTGGTCGAAGGAGGCAATCACAGCATCCTGGTCCAGACAAGCCTGCTGTGCCTCGTGGAAGTTGAGATTGTAGCGCCCCAGTCGTGGAAAGTAAGGGAATACCACACCTGTGCAAAGGAGAGACCGAGGGATTAGTGGTACAGAAAGTACCAACTGTGAGCAAATGTTGCTTGACTGGTGAAAACAGAATCTCCAGCAGAAGAAGTTGCAGGTTCTGGTCAACTTGCAGTGGTTTCTTGTGGTCCCTTTCCCCTACAAACAGCCTCTGGGCTCTGAGCATCTCACAGTGAGATAGGCGGTTTGATGACTTCAGTGATTTACCTTTTCGCTAAGAGTTCAATACAAGCCTTAAAATTCTCCTTTCTGGAATGATTCACCCATAGATTATCTTTTTCAAATAGCCTCCTTGAGAATTTACCTTCTGCTACTTCTGTTAATAACCTTAAAATGGATTACTACTGAGTCCTTTTCAGCTAGGAAAAAGTCAATATTGAATACTAATAGTGGTAGAGGATGTAGAAACAGTGCTCAGAGAGAAGGTATTTATCAGGATTCTCCATGTTTTTTCTTAGTAGTTATTCTTATATAATTAGTAATTAGCTTAGGATAGCCTTCATTTTTTATCTGTTTTTTAAAAGACTTTATTTATTTATTTAGAGAGACAGTACCATGGGTGGGGGAGCAAAAGGAGAGGGGGAGAGAGAATCTCAAGCAGACTCCATGGTGCAGAGCATAGTGCAGACTCAGGGCTTGATCCCAAGACCCTGAGATCATGACTTGAGCCAAAATTAAGAGTTGGATGCTTAACCAACTGAGCCACATAGGTGCCCCACTTAGGATAGCCTTTTAAATGTATAAACAAATATGGTAACAAATGATTCAAATGTAGATACATATTTTCTTTTACATATGCTCCTAAAAACTTACTTGTCTAAGTAACTTTCACTTAGGAGGTTTCTTTTTTTTTTTTTTTTTTAAAGATTTTATTTATTCATTTTGACAGAGAGAGAGAGAGAGAGAGACAGCGAGAGAGGGAACACAAGCAGGGGGAGTGGGAGAGGGAGAAGCAGGCTTCCTGCGGAGCAGAGAGCCCGATGCGGGGCTCGATCCCAGGACCCTGGGATCATGACCTGAGCCGAAGGCAGGCGCTTAATGACTGAGCCACCCAGGTGCCCCCACTTAGGAGGTTTCTTACTTGGAGAAACTCCAAAGTGAGTTTACATATCTAACAGAAACCTAATTAAGCAGCCTTATTTCATATTAATAAGCCAGTTCTTTACAGTGGGGGCATACCTCACTCCATATTCCATTAAGGGTATCCTGGCTCTGTTATCCATTTCAACTTTTAAGGGTAGCCCTTAATCTTATTTTTTTTCTGTCCTTGAACAGCACAAACAAAATGAGAGCTTTCATTTAAAAATAATTCTTCAGCTTCCATATTCATATGTTGCCAATTGAAACCAGCTTTTAAAAACATTTTTATTACAAAAAAAAAAAAAACCTTCCCAAAGCTTGTCCTATACAAGGTGGATACAGCATAAACATCAGTTGAGTTAATGCCAAAGAATTAAGTTAACTATTTGGGCAAAAACCCTTAACAAATGTGAACAGTGTGACTTGGCACTTGACTTTGCCTGGGAAGATGCAATGGCTTCCCCAAAGCGTTCTTTTTGGTCAAATAATCACTGGAGGTGACTGAGCCACCTCCTGACTTTTGGGCGCATTTTCTTGAACCACTAAGAATTACATCAACAGAAAGCAAACTTGTATCATTTGCTGGACTTTCAGAAGGACCCCTGCATCAAAATGTCTCCCCGTAAAAGACAATTAATTCAGAGTGGTTAGTCAAGGCCTTGCCTTGGATTTTTGGTTATAATTAGAAATAATTAATACTTTAGCTTGTGGAATATAAACAGTTGTCCCACTGACACAGTAATTTGGTGGGTTATATCGCAAGTGCTGTTTTATGAGACCGCAGACCCTATTCAAGATGAATGGACAATTCACTCATCGTGTAACCAGGACACAGGAAATGTTTTCTTTTATAAATTGTCCTGGAAGACTCTACCAGAAGAAATTTCAATAGCCTAAATCAAGTCGTGTTCCCCCAAGGCCTCCGCAGGACACGTTTGTCCCTCTGGGGTAGTCCAGCTGGCACGGTTCCGTAAGAGGCAGGGATCCAGGAAGGCTTCCTGATCTCATCCTGCCTTCTCAGGTTCTTGGCTGAAGGATCTGTAAGCTGAATCAGTGCCACAAGGAAGGAGGAAAAGACTCTCTCAGTTGCCACTGCCCCCTGCAGTGATGGGGGTGGAGGGGAGCCTGAGATGGTTCTATCTAAGAAGAGCTATTTCCAGGCATCCAGCTAAGAACCCAGTTAGCACTGGGAAGGAACTGCTATAGCTCTCCCTGTCCCCTCGTGCCTTTCATCCTCTTTCCTCAGAACCCCAGCAATGCCAATGAAAATAAAAATATTTAATTTATCCAATTGAGATTTCCTTGGCAGCTAGACCCTAAGTGAGAGAAAAATCTCAAAGTGTTTCAGTCTGGAGAGAGAAACCATTTGGGTTGGATTCCGTTTCCCAAATGTCTCAAGAAGGGAACAGTGGAGACTGCAGGATATTTTAATTTACAATGATTTTCAAGACCTAGACAGCCTTTCTGGTTTGAACTCACTGTGGTGTTATTTGGTGGACTCTCATGGGCATTAGGAAAAAATTTTCTTGAGTAGTTGGTTCTTGATTAACCATTGAATGTTACTGAACCATGATTGATTCAGTTCCAAATTCAGTGTAATGTATTTTTAAGTTCCTTTCAAATTTAACATATTTTCATGCAAACATTTCTTAAAGTCACAGTGAAACCCAGTACTGAAACTTCATTATTTTTCAATTGTAGAAATAAATGGTCAACTTATCATTATATTAATTCAAAATATTTACTTGAATTTTAATTAATGTTTGATGATTATGGAAAGAATACATCCCAAGTAAATCGAGGTCATTTTCTGTGTCTCAGCCAAAGTTGTAAAAGTTTCACTGTATTGTGCACATTTGGTGCACAGATTTCAATAATCAGATGTTTCTTACAAGCAGGGGCATTTCTGGAACTGCATGTTTGTTAGTATTTTATTTATTTACTTATTTTACTTTCAGCGAGTTAAGATTTCAACATCTAAGACTATAATCGCAGAAACCTGTCTCAGTGGAAAAACGTGCACTTCCTGCAGCTGAATTATGGAGCGGATGTTTATTGCTTTCATCCAGTATTACAAAAATACAAGTTAAACTTCCATCGGTGAAAACGAAGGACATGTGATTATTTTCCAAGTATGATTATTTTATACTCCTATGTCAAAATGTAATCAAAAGTTGTTTCTTTTCCCATGAAGAGCTGGTATGCATCACGACAAAGGGAATTAATAAGGATGATCTATTGTATGGAAAAGAATGTGAGTAGTTTAGTCAGTAGAAATATGTTTTGAAAACACGCTCTTTAATATTTATAATTGCACAGTCAGTTCATCCTAGTTGTTGGCAAATATCAATTTGTTAGACATCTAAAAGATGTCCATACCGTAGCCCATGTAAAGCTAACGTAAATTTCAGGAACTTGAGTAATAGAAAGACAGACACCATGGAGTATAATTTTACCTTCTTCAGTGCCCCTTCTATTGCCTATCAGTGCTATACACATATCTGATTTTTTTTCTATTTCTAAAACCTCTCAGACTATATTTTTGTGTATCTAGCCCCATTTTCACCAGCAGAAAACCAGTACAATGGGAGATTGGAAAAAAAGTATCACGTTTTTCATATCCTTATTTATTTGTTAATTGCTGGAATGAATTCTGTAGACCAAGCTACTCATTAATTTCCAGTGACCTGAATCTCTTCGTTATAGTCACATAAGGCTAGTCTTGTTGGGTGTTGTTTCTAGCAGTGTGGGTAATTGGTAGTAATCAGAGGGTGTTACCCTATCGGAGATTCTATATGAAAAAATTGTTTCTGCAGCTAACTCCAACTCAGTCTTTCAAAAAATCTTACAATTTTTTTTATCAGTATGATTCAAAAAAAAAAAAAGAAACAATTCTTAAGTCACAGCTAAGAGTAAGGCACTGTGCTGGGTGCTCTAGAATACAGGTTTGGGGTGTGGCCTGTTCCTTCAAAGGGCCCATAATTTGATATGCAAACTATACATATATATGTATATATATATATATATATTAGTTTGAATCCAAGACAGAATAAATCTTGTACTATAAATACAAACCATATAATTTGGACATCTTAAAGAAGAATGATTTTTTTCCTAATTGGAAAAATTCTTTGGAGAACATAGCATTTAGCATGTTATTAAAGGACCAATATAATTTAAAACATTGTACAAGTACAGCTGAAAAACCATCATCATGACATTTAAAATGATATGCTTCCCTGGCCTTATTTATGTACATTAGAAGATTGACAAGGAGTTTGAGTGAAACTTGCCTGATGGTCACATGTAAGAATGTAACTGATAATGAAAAAAAGTAAAAAACTGGGTTGAAGGTATTAAGGGATAACCACAAAATCTCTTTTGCCACATAGCCCTTAAACTCTTAGGTATATAATCACTGCACCTTGCTCATCTGTCTCAGACTATGTGGAAATTACCAAGTCACTTTCAATGTTTATCCTCAGGTTAGCAACCAAGCTTCTTCAAATGCTATTCTACAGTGACTATCTTAAATTTTTTTTTTTGCAATTTCATTTAAAAATGAGTCCTTATCTCATATTGCAGCATATGTAGAGAAAATAATAGGCTGAGTTTTTCTTGAACATTATTCAGTGCAATTGGGATTATATAAAGCAAGATAAAATAAGGTGTCTTTATCATGATAACTTTTGAGCTGGACAATGGTATACGGGGATTCAGTATATGAGTCTATTTTTCCAAATGCTTGAAATTGGCTATGATAACAATTTTTATCTTATCCTATTGCCAAGCTGAGAGCCTTAAACCAGTCCATGTGGATGCAGACTCTCTATGGCATCTGTTGTTCACATTTTTTCCCTTTGAGAAATTTCTCTCAACCCCACGATGTCCTGTCTCTTGCTTTTTCATGCCCTCTACCTTTGGAAGGACCAGGTTTACCTTCCGTGGCCCCAATCAAGTGTTCCTTCCTTTGCGGGCCTTTCCATAGCCTCTCCATGGTGTGCATGCTTTTTTTGTGTATTCGAAAGTTTTAACCCGTTGTATCCAACATTCAATCACTTGTAAGCTCTTTGCTGAGTACTAACTTTGTTCTTGGCCCCTGACTGCCTTCGAGTAGATTGTAGTTAACGGGTGGAGAAGGCAAGTTGGCAAACCTTTACAAAACAAAGTGTGATGAGAGCTATAATGGAAATCTCTGTAAGGGGCTTGGAGAGCATCACAGCTGTGGAGCGGAACTCAGATCTTACTCTTTGAAGATTTGTATTTTATTCAGTTGTTCAGAAACGGATTTGTGTGTATAGTGCTACATGTTAAAATGTTAGCTATTTCAAGGCAGGCCCTCTGGCTAATGGCTGCTTCTACACTTTCTGCAGCACAGAAGAAAGACGGAAATGCACGACCTGCAGGGAGGGGAATGGAAGCGCTACCATGAGCGCACCAGTTAATGCCGTGTGACCAAAAGACAGCCTGTAGGTTGTCACCCAAGTCCCTGTGGGGCCGTTAAGAATCCCCTGCAGCTGGTGGCTGCCCTTCTGCCTGTTCGAGGTCTCTGGTCTTCTCTCCACCGGAGAATCCTTCCCGTGAGCCCCCAGATCACAGTGGATAAAAGCGTAGGCTTCTTCCAGTGTCCTTGGTATCAGATTCCAGTTCTAGCTCTTACTACTGGCCATGTTGCCTTAGAAAAGAAGTCCTCCCTGAGTCTCATCTGTCGGGGGCGGGGGGGGGAGGTTCCTGAAAGTGAGCCAAGCACAGCGCATGGGATTATAGCAACTGCTTTGTACCCGCTTACTTTATAACCAAATTCTACCTCATTTACTTTATTTATTGTATCTGAAGTGTAGTTGACCTACAAGATAATAATTTCTGCCTTATTTTAAGATTCTTACTCTTGAAAGTATATTAGAATCTTTAGTAGCCTGTCAGACTATTGAATGAAAAAAACCAAGATTTGGAAATCTTCACATCTCCTGGCACTGAAACAGTACTTATAAAAATATTTATCAGTTCAATTGGTTTCTTGGACACATTTCCTTGGCTCATATGCTAATGGGTTATATGGTAGGGAAGTGTACCAATAGCATGGAAAGCGTGGTGATTTGGGATGGTGAAGGGCCTAGGCAGGAAAAAAATTACTCTTTATAGTTTCTCTTCAACACCTCTAATTATATCTGGAATGCAGTTTGACCTTGGAGTGCATCATCCTCTGACACATTGTAAATCTCCTTTTTAAACAAAGGTATAGCAGGCTCCATGCTTAAAGCTATTAGCAAGCAGGTATCCAGGTGGAATATGGAAGTATTTTTATATTCGTTGTATTTATTTTTATGGTTCCCTTCTATTTCTGGCAAGTCCTACTGCTTTCTATTCACTTAAAATTTCATTTTAAAATAAATGTAGGGAGACAGTAAATATGGCAGGTGAATTACTTAGGTTTAGGAAATACATGGTATATAAACAGAACTTTAGATGAAAAAGTAACTGAACAGGTAATATCATTCAACCTGTTATTCATAGTTGAGGAAGCCAGGTATAAGGATTAAATAACTTGCACCAGTTACAAAACTCATACTGGTAGAGTTGGTACTAACATAAAAGTCTTGGTTGGTACTACTAGCTTGAGGGTCTGTCCACTGCCTGATGCCCCTTCAATCAGGAAAATCGGCTGTCATTAATATTTGATAATTAACTGTTTTCTCTAAGGCCATCACTTCTTTCATCTTGAATAATGCCAATGTTTATGGATATTCACGTGACTCAATAAAAACTGAAAGTACAAGGTGGTATGTAATCAGGAGCCAAGAACTACAACTAAGAGAGACAAAAGAAAAAAGGAGAGACAGGAGAAGGTCACAAAAATGTATTTTATGACATCGTGCAATTTATTAGATACATAAAGCTAATAAGTCTCCATACGTGTGATGGGATTCTGTGGGATTCAGAAGGTCAACTCTTCAGTGATACTCCAGTGGACCAAACAGAGTCTTTCCCAAAGGCACAAATCTGTCCTAGGATGTGAAAGGAGCGTCTAGCAAACACACACCTATAGTTTATGTGCATAAGGAAGGAAAGTATTCTATCAATGTAGCCAAAAAAATTCATCCTTCAGTGTAGAGAAACACTGAAATTCGTGAACATAAGATGTTTTGAGATGCGTGAGAAACAGAGAAGAGTTTCCCTCTTGGTGGGGCATATAGAGGGTGGGCTTTGGGCAGCGAGCACACTTTATTGTTTAGCATTCTCTACATTTTAGTTTTTGGACCTACTGAGTAGATTACATACTTAAAAAATAATTCTCCCAGAATGCCTATATTGTTTGGTATTTGGTGTCTAAAAGACTCTGGAGCATTAAAAGAGTTTACTTCTTACTTATTTAAATAAACTTGGAGGGCACTTTTTTGTTAAGATTTCACAGTTACTTTATAGAATACAATTACACGTATTTTAGTTAGCAGATGTCCTTCACAAAAGTTGCCATTATTTTGAAACTGAGATAATTTTAGAAGCATAATAAAAATGCATCCTATCTGAATTTCTCCATAACCATGTCATAAGATTTAAATTTTGAATAGCATAAGGCCATTTCCAAATATTAGTAATTCAGTTCCACTGCACGTTTCTCCTACTTGCAAATAGCTTCAATTTTGTGTATAACCATTGTGTGTACATTTCAAATATGAAAGCTGGAATCATTGACAGACTGCAAAATACAAAAGAAAAGAAACCCGCTATGCATGGACTTCTGATTTCTCACATCACTATGGTAGCCACTAGACATTACTTGTCGTGAAAAATGATTAATTATCATTTCCAAGTTTAAAATGATTTATAGATACCTACCTTGTAAATCTAATGCTACCACAGCAGTGTCATCTTCCAATCCTTCAATCACCTCACACTTATATTTCCCATAGTCCTCCAGGGTGAGGTCTGCGATCACCAGAGAAGCATCGTTATCACTGCCTCCCTTCAGAAACGCTCTACCCTGGTAGCCTCCATAGGCTTTCTTGTGATATCCCATGGAAACAAAAACGTCCACTTCCTTGAGGTAATCTGAAGTTAGCTTGGTCCACTTAATTCGGATCTTGTGGGTTCCTGAGCCAAATGCTGTAGGGTCTCGGTAAAATTTACATGGCAGTGTAACATTGCCACCTCTGTATGAGAACACCCTGGCTTGTTCTGCTTCCACGAGTAGACGGGGGCCATTTTCTGCTATAATTAAAAAAGAAGAAGAAGAAGAACCATTAATATGCTTTTAGGCTTTTTTTTTTAATAAAATGAAATATGCTACCTATACAGGGTATCTGACAAAGAGTAGCATTGGGTGATAAGCTTCTCTGCATTCTTGTACAGTAATATTTTTTGAACCACATAGAAAGGTAACCTCTAATACCTAGAGGGCACCTACAAGGTAGTCATGTCTTGTAAACCACTGATAAAAAGAAGGATGTTGGGCGCCTGGGTGGCTCAGTTGGTTAAGCGACTGCCTTCGGCTCAGGTCATGATCCTGGAGTCCCAGGATCGAGTCCCGCATCGGGCTCCCTGCTCGGCAGGGAGTCTGCTTCGTCCTCTGACCCTATCCCCTCTCATGTGTTCTCTCTCTCTCATTTTCTCTCAAATAAATAAAATCTTTAAAAAAAAAAAAAAGAAGGATGTTAATTACAATAACTGAAGATTACTGAATATAAAACTCCACAGTCATCAAAGTTTGATAACTTAACAACAAATTCTGTTTTATCCTACATTTAAATATCAAAAATGTGGAATCAAGACCAAGTGAAATGACATAGGTTATGATGAATTTCATCAATACAAACCAAAAAATTTCAAGGTAGGCAAATTTCTCTTCCCACTTGAGCTTTCTAATACGATAAATCTCTATTTTATTTACAGCAAAATTATAAAGCAACATGATCAATTTTCATCCTATTCTGGCCAAAGAACTTAGAGTATCCTCACATTTGTGGTTTCAATTCAAATATACACTTGTGATATGTCATTCTGGAGCAATTCAAGCAGTATGTATGTATTTTATTTTCACACAAAGAGTAGACATCAGAAAGGTATTTTTAGCCAATGCTTAAAAAAAACCAAAACAACAGGGCGCCTGGGTGGCACAGATGGTTAAGCGTCTGCCTTCGGCTCAGGTCATGATCCCAGGGTCCTGGGATCGAGTCCCACATCAGGCTCCCTGCTCCTTGGGAGCCTGCTTCTCCCTCTGCCTCTCTCTCTCTCTCTCTCTCTCTGTCTCTCATGAATAAATAAATAAAATCTTAAAAAAAAAACAACAACCAAGAACAACTCCAGGTTTTGAAATATATTCCTCAAAACTTAATTGCTGAAAGTATATCCAAAGTTATATTTATTTCCTGATTAACCACATAATTATTTGTTTCTTTGTTCCCTTAAGTCTCTTTCTACCCCTTCTTGTCTTTGCTTTCCGCTACATCTTGTTTTATAGTCTATCTTCTCGCTCCCACCTTTCTCTTCCTTGCCCTTTCGTTTCCCTCCTCCCTCCTCCAAGAATGAGCTAGCTTTCCAGAGAGCACTGCAATAGTCCAATCCTGCCAAGTCAGCGGGGCTGCCGTTCTCCAGGGAGCCAGCTCTACTTGTCACATCTTAGCTTTCTCTGGGGTTTCCCCTGGTTAGCTTACTGTGCTTTTGACCTTGACAGGGTCTCCTGGGGATGTGCAAGATTTGAAAATGAGAAAGCAATATAAAAACTCCCGGACACAGACACATCTTCGCATCTACACACAGCTTTCGAAGCTTGCCAAAAGCTGCCTTTCATGAAGCCCTGCAGCCCTTCCTGCATGGGGCAGGTAGGAACTGAGTGAATCTTGGCCGTGAATCATTTAGGATACACAGCTCAGGAAGAGCTCCGGACAGATCCCATAACTTAACTTAGTTAACGGCGTACACAGAATTCAGATTTTAAAATAAGAAGTGTCCAAAAATAGACAAGTGGTTATATTTTTAACATACGGCAATCAGAATGAGTATTTTAAAATGGCCATATTTCATTTATAAGTCAGCCCCAATCCTCAGAAACTGAAAAGTTTAACAAAGCCATTAATGCCCCCTCTTGGAATAGATAATAAAATAAGAGGATAATGGCTTAATTAAAATGAATCATAAATCCAGCTCATTAGGCATCTCCTTTATATTTTATTCTTTATCTTTTTATTTAGGATCATAGAATCCTAAGGGATGAAAGGTAAATCTCTCCAACTCTACCCTACCTGTTATCTTCCCCCTTCAATATCCCTAATGACTGCATCCACGTGTCCTCTTTCCAGGAGGAGGAAAGTGCTGTAGACTGCTCAGTAATGCTTGAAGGTTGTAGGGAACAGCTTCTACCTCGTACCTGGAAGGACACTTCCAAGGCTTGAGCTGAGACCCGACACAGAGCTTCAGGAGGTTGTGGTTTCATGATTCTCACAAGATTTTTACTTTAAAGTCAAAACTAATGTCCAAATCCACAGGGATAAGGGGTATTATAGTAGTTAGGAACAAGGGTTGCAATGTGACACCTTGTTATAACCTCACCTCCTCAATTTACTAGCTCTGTAGCCTTGAGCAAGTTGTGCAACCTCTAAGCTCCAATTTCTTTATCTGTGAATTAGGGGTAGGAGCATCTATCATATATAGCTGACCTCATAGACACAGAGAGCACTTAGAATCATATCTGATCAAAAGCTGAGCATGCACTCCTGGCTAACTGTTCCTACTGTATAGATCTTCCAGTTTTTCTCAAATATGATACTGCCTGATAACGAGGATAGTTTTGGCATACGTTAACCTTCTACTTTCTTATAAAGCTTTGAATCCTGCGGGGTGAAAAATACATAAAATGCCACCTGTGTTATAAAGGAGATGTAGAAATTATTCGGTGGTTTCACATAATCATAAGGTGTTCCAGAATGAATACAAGGTCTGAGTGTTTCATAAATTAAAGAGTTAAAGCAAAGATCAAAAGTCTTGTACAAGGCACTGGGACTTCTAATTTTTTTTCTGTGGTTTACTGTACCTCATCTTGTAGTATTTTAGTAGTGTAGGCTTCTGGTTTTTTTAGGTGATTTTTTTTTATGAGTAGATGATGACTTACGTGGTATAATATTGAGAATAGAGCAGATACCAAAAATCCACTGATTTCCCACAAAATAACTTTTCTAACAAGCCTGCCAGAATGTATAAAATTCTACCATTCTTATTTGGGGGGGCGGTGGGGGGCGGGGCTGTGGCGTGGAAGTAATCAATGCCAGAAGTGCATGGCTGAAAGCCTAAGAAAGATGTGTAATGTGTAACACATCGAGTGACTGAGCGCCATCAGTGTTCATTAATCTAAACCACCAGCATGGTTTTGAGAACAATGTTTTTTGTTGGTTTGCTTGTTTTTAGAAGATTGACACTGCAGATCATACAACACTGAGTATTTTGGCGAGCGTGGCCTGTTGCAGAACAAAAAAGACATAGGAGGGAGCACTGGTCAGTGAGTCAGGATCTTTGGGTGTTTCACTGACTGGTCTGCCTCATGGAAACATTGACTTTGGAATTTGTGTCAAGCTCCCCATGGCGGGTAGTCATGATGGGGATGAACCAGGAAACACATCAGCTGGAGAGGGGAGAGCACAGGGACAAAGAGCAGAAAAGGGAACTGAGCATGAATGCTGATGACCAACTTTGCACCCGGCTTGCCTAGAGTAAGTCTCAAATCTCATCTCTGGATGCAAAAACTTAAGCAGTTTGAAAGTAATGTTTAAATCAACCTGTTTGATCAATAGGCAGTTGCAAAGCAAATAAAATGCAAAAGATAAAAATACAACTCGATCATCAGAATGAGCACTGCTTGTTTTCCTGTTTTTTTAAACAAAAAATATAAAAGAATAAATAAAACTAGGCAGCATACATATGCTCATTTTGGAAGGACTGGATTTTTTATTTTTTATTTTTTTTACTGTTTTTTTTATTACATTATGTTAATCACCATACATTAATCATTAGTTTTTGTAGTGTTCCATGATTCATTGTTTGCGTATAACACCCAGTGCTCCATGCAGAACGTGCCCTCTTTAATACCCATCACCAGGCTAACCCGTCCCCCCACCCCTCCCCTCTAGAACTCTCAGTTTGTTTCTCAGAGTCCATAGTCTCTCATGGTTTGTCTCCCCCTCCGATTTCCCCCCCTTCATTTTTCCCTTCCTGCTATCTTCTTCTTTTTTTTTTAAATGATTTTTTTTAAAGATTTTATTTATTTATTCATGAGAGACAGGAGAGAGACAGAGGCAGAGGGAGAAGCAGGCTCCCCGCGGAGCAGGGAGCCCGATGCGGGACTTGATCCCAGGACCCCGGGATCATGACCTGAGCCGAAGGCAGACGCTTAACCGACTGAGCCACCCAGGCGTCCCCTTCTTTTTTTTTTAAAGGACTGGATTTTTTAAAAGTTTAATTTGTAAGTCACAGAAATTTCATATTTCTATTAGTGAGTGTCAGTGACCATGACTTGAAAGATTTGATACCCTTCAAAGACCATAGTTGTCTCCAGGGGAAACAGCAGGGCCTCATTATTATTTTACAAATTCTGCTGTGAAATCCAGAGGACATCACTCAATTTCACCAAATTATGAAAGCAACTGCATGACCAAACAACTCATCTTTGTATTGCTGTGTCATTTAGATGAACTCTTTCAGACAATAGGATACAAGTAATTAGCTGCAGAAAAACAATGTAGAAATATGGTATTGGACTATGATCTATTGTTCTTAATTCTTTTAAAAGTATAATCATTTTTTATGGCAGTTCATGGCCAAAGAAATACACGTGATGGAAAAAAGAGAAGGTGTTATGGATTGAAGTTTGTCTTTTTACAGTGAATTGTGGACTGTGCAAAATAACCAGTGTTAGTGTTGGTTACTTTCTCATTGGGGTATGGATGAATTAGGGTCAAGATTTTTGAATTTCCTAAACTAATGTAAAACGCAAAAAAAAGAAAAGTGGGCAATATATTTTAGATGGCTAAACAAGGACATTAAAAATACTCCTCTCCTGGGGCTCCTGGGTGGCTCAGTCATTAAGTGTCTGCCTTCAGCTCGGGTCATGATCCCAGGGTCCTGGGATTGAGCCCCGCATTGGGCTCCCTGCTCAGCGGGAAGCCCGCTTCTCCCTCTCACACTCCCCCTGCTTGTGTTCCCTCTCTCGCTGTGTCTCTCTC